CGTGACCCCTCTGTCGTGATATGCATCTTATCGCCAAATTCTTGCCAAAACACAGCCCTAATGTTTATCATATAAAGTCTAATGTTACAACTGATCTGGGATCCCTTTAAGMTTCAACATTTCAGAGGCGTGTCAGTAAAAACACAAACAATCAGACCTTCTCAAAGCCGTCGTTTAAAAACATACGATCAACGCTTCTGCATCACGGGTCGGCCGGGAGGCAGTTCCCGTTCTGCARGACGCTGGGGATGCAGAGATTCAGGTTGGACACCTTCCTGTAGACGAAGTGGAAGACGTGCGTGAGCGGCCGGCTGTGCAGCTCGGCTTTGATCCGTTGGGGGTGCGTGTCGGGAGCCAGCTGCTGGCTCGTGTCCTCGGTGACCAGGAACAGGGCGTAGTTCTCCGGGTCGGGGATCTTGAACTTGCGGGCGCAGAGGGAGCAGACCTCCTCGGCAGTGGTGTAGGGGTGCACCTGCAGGGTCTTGGCCGTGCAGCCMGAGCCGGCCTCCTGCAGGGCGACGCGGAGGAAGTTCTGCAGAACCAAACAGAACCAGATCAAACCTCCAGACTGAAGAACAGAAGCAGAACTGAAGCAGAACCAGGAATCACATGCAGTCAGGTCTAAATGAAGACATGCACTTTGTCCACCAGGGGACGCCGTCTGCARCCAGACCGGTCCTTGGATCCTAAATGGTGTTAGTAAAGTTCTGAAGYGGCGCCTTTCATGCACGGCTCGGTTCGGATGGAATTCAAACTCACTGCCTGGTGGTTCAAGGTGGGCTCAGCTCAGGTGAGATACCTGGAAGTCGTCCACGGACGGCGCCGAGCGAGGGGTGGTCCGCCGGCGGTGCCACTGGTGCAGGGTGTTCCGGACCTCGGAGCTCAGGACCCGGGCCGCCTGCTCCTCCTGGAAGTTCTTGATGAGCGCCATGGCTCCGTAGGCGCTGGTCAGGTAGTACCCACCTGCAGAGACCGGATTTATTTACTTTGATTAGTTAAACTTTTAAAAATGATTCATGCTTTTATTTTGACAGGTAAAGTTGGCTCTGAAACAGGAAGAGGAAGTCACAGAGTTGTTTTATTCCTTTGTTTTTTATTGAAAAACAAGAGAGTTAATATTATTCCAATTAAAAAAAAGAATTTCATCAAACTTTATTTAAAATCTGATATCAGACAAGCTGGCATRATTTATTTTTTATTTACTGAAAGATTTACAGAAATATTCAACATTTTAGGGTTCTTTTTGCTCTTTGGATGACCTCAGTTTGCAGAATAAAGTTTATTTCTTATCGGACTGATGAGCTAACAGCTAGTCAGAACTCATCTAGCCTCAGAGCGAGCACTTCCTGTGTTGGACGACTTTCTGTAAACTTTATCGTTCTGTGAAAGCAGAGCTGATTTCTATCATCTGTCTGCTTCRGTGAGGAATTCTAAAGATTTGTGGGAATCGATTAAATCTTTGAATCATCTGAGAGATGAAACAGAAATAAGCAGCCAGGTCTGAGGAAAACCACAGACGTTTCTGAGGAATCCTGGCTGTGGTTGACCTGATGGATAGCCCCTCATCAGAGCTAAACAATAAAATAAATAAATAAATAAATAAATA